GCGTTTGAAGTGGAAAAAAATAAGGTTTGTCGGAAGTCATAGACTTTACTCTTTTGTTTTTTGGTGAAGCGGATGAATGAAGTATTAATTTCAAATCGCATTTATGACTTAATGGTCATGTCTTCTACGAATTCTTGAGCTGCTGTTTTGTTTACAATATTATATCTTTTTAGGATGGCTCAGCATGTCATGATGTAATTAGCTGTAGTGATACGTTTATTGCTCCTGGACCGACTTCTTGTGTATTTCTGGAAAAAGAGTTGAAGAGGTTGTATGCCAAGGAAGATTTTGATGTCCTGGAAAGTTTAGGAGAAGGTTTTTTTGGAGATGTGTTCAAGGTGCGTGAAAGTGATGTCTTCAAGTTTAACATTTTTATTCGTTCGTTATTTTTCGCATCTCATTTTCTTACCGTTCGTAAAATCTCTGGTTCGCTGGTTTTCTGGAAAAGAGTGGTATATTTTCCATGGCATTTGAATTGTAATTTTTATATTTTTTTCAAGGTTAAACATCGTATTACTGGTGAGGTAATGGTACTCAAAGTGGGTAAAGATCGTGAGCGGGAGAATCGCTCTCGTGCGAAGGCTAGCGTACTGAAGGAAGTTTCTGTACTTAACCAGTTAACAGAGCACCCGAACCTTCTAGCTTTTCGGTAAGTGGAACATAGGTAACTTTCTGCAAGGTTCTAACAATCGGTATAGCGGGGTTTACGTATACAAATTTATCATTTCATATTTTTTAAGTTTAACCTGCATTCAGTATTGAAAAGTTTAAAATGGATATTGAATTGAGTTTTCTTGTACCTGATAGCGTTATTTTTCGTGGGCGGCTTATTCTATTGCGGCTTTTGGCTGTCTTTAGAATTGCGCAGGGAAGCCTTAACCGATTAACTTATTTTTTTTAGTGGGGTTTGCGTAGACATCGATCCAAGCGGGGGACTTTGGAATCTTCATATTTTGGTAGATTACTGTGATGGAGGGAGTCTAAATCGTTTAATTTGTGATACGCAGCGAGTGTTCCCTTGGCGTTTAAGATGCTCCCTTGGTCGAGACATCGCATGTGCAATGTTGTATGTACATTCGAAAAATATAATGCATCGTGATCTCACCAGCATGGTAGTTTTTCATGAAATATTTGCTTGCTTGTCAATAAATTCTTTTTTTAATCCTGTGTACATGTAGGCTCTCTGTTTTTTTAAAGAAGTTTTGTTAAGGGCAGTGTTTTTTGAAGCTTTTTTATTGTTTACTGTAGTATTTTACTGCATTTAATAGCGACTGTGATTATTTAAAGAATGTCCTGCTACAAACTGCTGCAAATGGTACTAAAGCTGTAGTTGCTGACTTTGGGCTATCTTGTCGAATACCGCACGTCAACGAATGTCTAGTTCAAGTTGGCACACCTTACTGGATGGCGCCGGAGTGTTTGAAAGAGGAGTTTTATGATCAAAATGTGAGTTTTACGGTATTACATCTTTTGCTTGGTCTCAGTACCTAAAGGTATTAGAACTGACAGGTCATTGTAAAAACCTTGAAGTCACTTTTGCGTTTTGACCTGACTGTTGCTTCTTTTAGTTTATAATGTTGTTAAATTTTAACAGGCGGATGTATTTTCGTTTGGAATAATTATGTGTCAGATGATAGCTCGAATTGATGCGGATCCTGAAGCTGGCATGTATCGGACTAATAATTTCGGCCTTGATTATATGCGGTTTCTAGCCCATTGCCCAATGGATACTCCCCTTGAACTACTAAAATTGGCGTTTCAATGTGTTGTGGTTAGCTATCTATTTACCATGCGGTTGCGTTTAGTTTTGAAGATGATAGGAGGGGTTATTTGCCACATATCGTTTTAGCTTGAAATGAATGTTGAACGGAAAAATTTCTTCAGATGGACCCGGCAAAACGACCATCTTTTGTTAGGATCCACGACCGTTTGAACGAATTTTTATCATCTTATTCAAGGGACCCGGAAAATAGCAACACCCTTAGGGTTGATGTCGCGTTTGCTGACTCAAGTAATTATTCTCTTACTTCAAAGTTATTCAATTTAAGTTTCATATCTACGTCTTATTCTGTTCCCGTATTTTATCTTGGTTTTTCAGAGTTGGGAAGATCACTTTCCGATGCAGTTTTGAAGTCACCTCCATCGTTCAAACCAGTTCCAACAAAGTTCTTTCAAGTACAAAAGGAAAAGGATGATGCCAAAGTTTCAGAGTGAGTGATTTAGGAAATGACTTTGTTTTTGGGGATGACTTTTTTCTTTTTATTTCGGCTAATTCAGTTTCAGAGGTATGTCTAGTTTGGAAGCTCGCCGTCCTGCAATACTTGTTGAAGGAATACCATTGTCCGGGTTTGAAAATAAGGGCTTGGTAACAGAACAGACAAACAAAAGTCGAATGGAAGAATTGGCCAGGAGTGTTGCTGTCAAGGAAGTGGAATTGAACGAGGTTAATATTAATCTACTAATTACGGCTGCTTTTTTGTTGGGAAATATCTTTTCTCTTTTGTTCGGAAAATGTTTTTCATTTTAAGAAAATAGTATTTTATTTTTATGCATCTTTAGGGGAGCTTGGAAAGTGGTAACCCTTTTATTTGTCATGAAGTGTACAGTACAACAAGGAAATTAGCATTGCCTGATATGGTTCCTGATCAAAGACGTGGAAGTTCTACAAGTGAAAGGCAAAGGGATCGAGGCTATACTCATACTGGTGCAACTGATCCTTATGTTTTAGTGAGGTAAATTTTTATCATTTCTACTGATTAGGTCTCATTAATATCTATTTTTAGCTTTGTCTTTACAACTTTTTTTGCGATATTTCAGAACTCTTTTTACGAATGAGTTTGAGCTTTCTGAAATTAATGTTGTGAGTGATTGCGAAATTTGCTTTAGTGATGGGGATATGGATGCCGTGTTTACGAGCGACATCTTTCATAAGGGTGATGACAGTCCGAGGTTGGTTTCGAGTCAATCAAAGAAAACCCGGTAATTTTCTCTCCTTTTACGCCAATCTTCTTTCGACTGATAACCATCGTAAAAAATTTCAAACTTGATCGTTATCGTATTTCCAATTTTTTAGGGGACGTTGTCGAAGAAGCATTTCTATGCCATGTGGTCTAGCTTCAACTAGTCGAGTAATCTCACTTGATGAGGACCTTGTAAATCCCTCATTCTCATCTCCTTACCAAACAATGTCACCTCTTTGCCCTTTTGTCGTGGACGGCATTCAGTGTGCTTTGCAAGGTCGTATGACCATGAATTTCAAGCACGAAGATCAGGTGAGCATCATGAATAATTTAGAAAACATGATTCTGCAGCTCAGAAACCACTTTGGCGTCAAGACAGTTTATTTTGTTTTTTTTTTTTTTTTTTTTTTTTTTTTTTT